TTGTGACATTTGTTGATGATCATACAAGGGAAACTTAGAGTTTTCCTTCTGAAAGAAAGTTAGAGGTCGGACAATTTTTTCAAACCTTAAATCTTATGGTTCAAAATCAATTCAACTCTAGAATTTAGGTACTCAAGTTAGACAATGCTAGGGAACACTAATAGTCTAAATGCCTACTTTCAGAACCATGGGATTATCCACATAAGTCTTATGTTGACACCCCTCAACAAAATGGAGCGGCTTAGCGCAAGAATAGACATCTCTTGGAGGTTGTCCAGTGTCTTATATTTTCCTCTAATATTCCAAAATAATTTTGGGGCGAAGTCATTCTCACAGTCACCTTTTGATCAATCGTATGCCATCCAGAGTTCTTAATTTTCAATCTCCACGTCAACTTCTAAAAAATTTTCCTCACACGTGCAACTTCATACGATTTATCACTGAAGGTATTTGATTGCAGACATTTGTGTATCCTCAACAACGTAACAACTTTGATCATAGAGCAAATAAGTTTTTTTTTAGGATCTCTTTCTCCAACTAAAAAAAGGTACAAATGTTATTCTCCAACCAACAAAAGATTTTACACCATCATGGATGTCTCGTTCTTTGAGCATATGTCCTATCTCAAATCTCATGTTCAAGGGGAGAGCATGAATGAGCTCAAGTTTGGGAGTTCGTTTTCAAGCCTATGCCCTTCTCCCACTCAGAGTCACCAACTTCTTCTCAATCTATGCTTGTGCAAAAAGACCATACACAAAACTTGTCCACACCCATGCATGTTCAGTCATATGTCCAACCCACAAATGTTTCTTCTCCCGTGCCTGCTCAATCTATGGCTCCACAGCTTGCTAATGAAAATTTTAAAGTCTACATCATCAGAAGGAAAAGACAGGAGCTAGAGCACAGACATAGCAAGCATGTGTCCAAGATATTGACGCAATTAAAAATCCAACTGAAGAAAACATAGGTATGAATAAGGCTGGAGATGTTCCAATTCCAAACATTGATGACTCTACCATGTCGATTGCATTGAGGAAGGGTGTTAGGAAATGTACAAGTAATCCAACTGTGAATTCTATTACTTATGAAGGGCTATCACCATCTTATAAAGCATTTGCTGCTTCTCTTGATGATATCTAGGTTCTTAGCACAATACAAGAGGCATTACAAAATTCAGAGTACAAGAAGGCAGGACAAGATGAGATTGATGAACTTAGAAGAATGAACATGGACTATTACTGATTTGCCAGCTGGAAAAAGGCTTGTGAGGTGCAAGTGGATTTTCACTATAAAGTATAAACCAGATGGATCGATTGAAAGATTCAAGACTCGGTTAATAGCTAGAGGATTTACACAATCCTATGGGATAGACTATCAAGAAATTTTTGCTCCTGTCATAAAGCTTAACACTATTAGAATTTTTCTCTCATTGAATGTCAACCAAGATTAGTACTTGCAGCAACTGGACATAAAAAAATATCTTTCTAATTGGTGACCTTAAAGAGGAAGTCTACATGGAAATCCCACCTGGTTTTGAAAAAAAGTATGCCAAAGAATCAAGTTTGCAAACTCAAGAAGGCATTGTACGGCCTTAAATAATGTCCTCGAGCTTGGTTTGACAGATTCACAAAGGCTATTTTGAAGCTAGGCTACATACAAGGTCAAGCTGATAATACCCTGTTTGCCAAGAAATCTCATGCTGGAAAAATTGCTATATTGATAGTCTATGTAGATGATATTTATTCTCTCAGGGAATGATGGAGAGAAATTATAAAATTTGAAGAACTATTCGTCAATAGAGTTTGATTTTAAAGATCTTGAAAATCTTAAATATGTTCTTGAAATGGAAGTGGCTAGATCAAGAAAGGGCATTGTTGTTTCTCAAAGGAAATATACTCTAGATCTTCTAGAGACCGATATGCTTGGATGAAAACCTATTGATACTCCTATGGATAGTCAAAAAGAAAGTACATATATAGATAGTGGGATATAACAGAGACTTGTTGGACGTCTGATCCATCTTTCACACTCGACCCGATATTGATTTTACAATGAGTGTTATAAGTCAATTCATGCAAAATCCTATAGAGGAACACATAGGAGTCAATAGGATTCTTAGATAATTAAAGATGACATCAGGAAAAGGCCTATTCTTCAAAAAGTCCAAGAATTGTGACACTGAAGTGTATGCAGAAGCAGCTTGGACAGCAAACCACATTGAAAGGCTATCAACTTTTGGGTATGGTTCTTTTGTCTGGAATAATCTTATTACCTAGAGTAAAAAGCAATTAGTAATACCCAGAAGAAGTGCAGAAGCTGAGTACTGAGTTTTGGCATATAGAATTTGTGAAGCCATTTGAATAAAAAGGGTCGGTTCATCTCCTATTCTAATGAAGTGCAATAATCAGGCCTATCAGCATAGCTAAGAATTTCGTGCATCATGACATGACTATGCACATTAAAATTGATATAGTTCATCACAAAGAAGGTGACTAATGAAACTGTTAAATTGAAATACATTCCTAATAAGCAACAAATTGCAGACATCCTCAACAAAGCTCTACCTAGACCTAACTTTGAAGACTTAAATTGTAAGCTTGGATTATATGAAATATATTCACTAGCTTGAAGGGGTGTGTGGAATATTTAAAAGTCAAAGTTAGGGAATTTATTTTACAAAAGTATTTTTAAAAATAAAAGGAGAAATCAATGGTTATATTCTCCTATCATTATGTTTTTATTTTAGGAAAGTATTTTTATAAATAAAATGAGAGATCAAGTATAATCTTCTCTCATGATTATGTTTCTTAATTTTAAGAAACAATTATTCTCCTATAATTCTATTTCCTAAAAATAGTAGAGAATTAAACTAGTTAATTATTTCCTTTATTAGGCACTTTTTAGTATACATATGGAGATATAGTACCTCTTTTGTATAGGGGTGTCAAAATGGGTTTTAGGATGGCTTCGGGTCTAACCCGAAACTAACCAGCCCTCCACTGGCAAGATTTAAACATAATTTAGTCTAAATCATGCCAAATAACAAAAATGATAGCTTTAAATCCTACAAAAAGTTAAATCCTTTAAAAAATTTTATATTTTATTAATTTGATGTTTAATTAAGTAATAATTAATTATGATATTAATATATAAACCTTGAAATTTTAATTATATTTTATAATTTAAAACTTATAACATGTTAACAAAATAGAACACGCCATTTGCACCACCATTTGCACTTTGCACCATTCCCAATGCATGGCACAAATAGCATGCGCTATTTTGATATGCCACACCGTGCCAAGTAAATAGTGTCGTATGTGTGTCGCACCAAGTCGCACGCCATAGCGCACACCATTTTGAGCCATTGACATGTATGCATAAACGAGCCTGAAATATGAACCTGAACTCAACCAGCCGCAAACTCAGGTCAACCCGACCCGACATGCTGACCTAAGCGAGTACAGAGCAGGCGAGCATCTGTAAAGCGTGGGACGTGTGGCACAGGGGTGAGAGTAGGTGCGGGTAGGATGGCAGAATGCTATGGGGGCGGGAGGCATGGGTCTGCCAGTGCGAGAGCACGATGTACAGGCACGCATCCCAGTGCTAACGCAGCGCGCTAGTGGTGACGTGCAAGCAGGATGCGGGTGGCGGGTTATTTTTAGGTCATTTTTGGGGTAGCGAGTTGACCAAGACATGACTCAATTTTTCAAAGAGGTTGGGAATTGGAGCCTGAACCGAACCCGTTTGTTAAACGGGTTGACCCGAAACCAAATTTTTTTGGTCGGGTTCGAGTCGAATTTTTTGGTCGTGCAATAAATTGACACCCTGACTTTTGTACAAGAAGAATAATTAAATAAGAAATTCTTCAGTTTTCATTAATTGTGTTAGCACATAATTGCTTTTATGATCTTCATGGGATGAAACCAAATGGATTCTCAAGTCCAACATAATTTTTCTAAGTCTATGTTTAAATGCTCTCTTCCACAACTTCATGTATGACTCATATATTTCATTCCTCTATAGCTTAATTTTTAACACCTTTGTTCTTAAATACTCTACTAAAATACTTAAAGTATATGATGTTCTCTTAACCTTCAAAAATTCAATAAAATTTTTCTTTAATAAACATTGCAATATCACCCATAACTATCCAAATTTCAAGAACTATATTAGATGGTTTACTCTTATGCATGTTCTTCAAAGCAATCGAGTTCTTCAAATCAATCAATTATATAACTCATTATTTTGTTAGTTATCATACCGGCCCCAACCACCCCCCTCCCCCTTAAGAAAAATAATTTCTTCCTTAAAATTATGCTTTAATAGTTCACTCAAACCTTAAAATCATGCCTTGTACAAGAAGGCTATATTCTAGGCAGATGGAATTTTAAGAGGTCAATCTCTAAACCCCATCATTTTTAGCACATTCTAAAGCACGAACCATAATGGGATAGATACACTAACTGCTAGCTGCCTTATTAGGTTTCGAAGTGCCAAAGCCTTGCAAAAATAACTGCTATCAAGGGTAATAACAGCAAGTTGCCCCTGGTACTTACAATTGTCCTTAATTTATGGATAGGCCCATGCTAAAAGAATTAAGCTCAGGAAACAAGGTTTTGAGCAGGTTGCATGCTTACAATAATAGCCAACTTTAAAATAAAATAAAAAATTGAAATCCTGAGTCTATGCAATATGTTTGCAATTTTTTTTAGTTTTTGACACAAAAGGTACTTCATAAAATTGCACCTTCACGTCAACATCCTTAGACGACAGCATAAATGATATTACCAAAAAAATACAATATAAGTGAAAGAAACAAGACAATCAAGTATGAAGGTTTAATAGGACATTCAAGTTTGAAGGTGTATAATATCAGCTACAGTGGAATGCTATTTTTGTTTTTTTTGTAACAAACATCTGGAAAGAATTAATTCAGCCTATTAATTTAAAAGAAGTTTAGAACATGTTCAATGATTTCAATTAAATTAAGTTCTTACCAGCTCATTGCATGGCTTGATAGGAGCAATCTTAGTATTGAAAACACAACCGGAATCACTATCGCAAGGATGACAGCAGAAGCATGGATCAGCATTCCTAACAGGCATGTCACAAACTTCAAACACTTGAAACTTCAAGAGTTAATAAAAAAACAATCAATGAAAAATCTACCATAACAATTATTAGTCCAACAATTATATAAAGCAAAGGTTAAAACAGAAACAAAAGTTATGAGATATAGCAATTTAAGATAATTAAAGAATTTAAAGTTTAATTCTGGCTGGACAAAGCCATTTTCAACCAAAACAAATAGATAAAGAAAAGAAACAAAGCTGCAAATGCAATCCCATGCACAGCACCAAAGACATTCAGGAAAAGGTACTCAGGGCCTTGGAAAACAGTACCTCTAACTTGGAAAGAGGAAAGAGCATTTGATTTCACCAAAAATAAAAAAAAATTAAAAAATAAAGAAGAATGAACCAAGCGCAAGCCTTCTTTTAAGTATCCCAACTAAAATCTCTATTCTTTTGCCCACCCACCTACTCTGACCTGCTAATTGAATGAACTATTTTCTACGTTCAGAAAATTCTTGCTCATTTCTTTCTCGCACTTCTTCTTTCAAGCCCCTTTCTCACTTGTACACAGTTCACAGATCAGCCACAATGCTGCTAGGGAAGGCTTTAACTTATAAGAAGCTCTCCCCACCCCTCTTTAAAAAATAAATAAATAACTGTTCATGTCAGATGAATATAAAACAAAACATCTAACTTAGAAAGTGTAAAAGGAAGGCAACTAGGCTATGTCATGCTGCAGAGCATCAATGACTACACTTTAACAATGATGATGCAAATAAACAAATCATCCTTATTTCATTTTAATTTAGAGGGGCATAATATGAGGATGCAAAGCTAGAGAATTAATAATATTCACATAATTCCTCAAGAAATAATTGTGAAGCAAATGAGAACAGCATACCTATTATCAAGCCAGAAAAGGTTGACAAGGAAGAGCGTAATGCAATATTTGGGTACTGAAGCAACAGTGGCATGAAGAGGAATATGACCACGGGAAGACTGTGAAGTAAAAACGCTGTTTTTCTTGAGTAAAATATCTGGAACACAGAAGGGTGCCAAGCTGTGTTATTTAAACGTTTACACATATACCCTGTCATCAATCAACAGAATACAAGGAATTGTACCCCATGCCATTCAGCTTAAATCACAGGTATGATGTAATAAGTACCATGAAGAGAGACAGGTAGTCAAAGTATACAGCACGATCATTACTTTTCTTGGTTGCAGGAACTTCCAGATTTCTCTGTTTAGAATTTAGCAACATCGTGGAACTTGCAAATGCATGAAGCAAGCGGATTATATTCTCCCCACGTGCTTGGATGCTTCCTGGTCTGGTTTAAAATAGTCCAAAATTTAAACCCAAAAAAATAATAATACATTCAGAATGAACTGACAGGATGAGAGATTATTACGTGCGGTGTCCGGACTGTCCGGAGGCAAATCCGGGCGCGCCACATCACCCGGATGCACCAGGCCCCGAGTGACGTGACGTGTCCGGATTCGCCTCCAAAAGAATCCGGACGCCGCACGTAATAATTTTCCTGACAGGACAGGCTAAAGCATAGTTTGCAATTTCAGCACATACAATAATCTTTCCATTGTATCGTAAGATGTATGATAATAATAACCGCCCAGGACAAAGATGATATCAAGTCCTGGAATATTGCTATAATCTTCAGCAAGAATTCTGTAATCTGTATCACCAGGAATAACACCAAACGCATCCTGAAAAAAGAAAAATGACACAGGGATATGCTGTTTATGAACAAGAAGCATATGAATAGGGAAATGCATGAAAATAAGAGAATGAAGAAAAAAGATTTAAATAAGAAAATATTGGCAAAAAAAAGTTTCGGCCAATTAAAAAATTGATACAAGCCTGCCCAGTATAACTTTTAACTTTTGGCCAGCGGGCCTAAATAAAAATTATGAAATTTAAACAAGGGATTCTCCTCTTTCAAGCATACCCCAAGGCTTCAGTTTTTATCAATACCACACAATACAAAATTATCTTTATTTTTTAATTTTAAACTACCAACAGAGGAAGCGTTAAAACATGAAACAATCACCACAGTTGCTGATAGCAAGCCTAGTAATGCTAGATTCGTTGTAAATATCAACATTCAATTGATTTCTAAATGCCTAGGAAATCACAGTACAACATAAAAATAGAACATAAGTAGTTAGGGAAAACAAATATAATCATGCAAACGGATAAAAGAATCACAAGCTATGATTATGTGGAAATTTAACCAACCTGTTAACCAGGACTTAAACGACCCAACAATCCAGTGGAGAAAATTATTTACAGAATTACATGATTTAATCAAAGCTATTTACCCTGTCAACTAAATAAAAGGATAAAAATAGTTCATGTACCTCTTGAATAAAATTGATGGAAACACAAAAATCTTTGCATGCTCGAACAAAAATTTTATATGAAAGTTGTATCTCGAGGCAATTTAGAAGATTTATGGCACAGATTCCACATAAATATCTTTCAACGAGTAATAAAAAAGAAAAAAAAAATCTCATGCTTACATTTTAAAGACTGAAAAAGCTTTTAACATGCATGACAATTGAAGGATGACACAACAAGCAAAATCCAGATAAAATGGTTGTCCTAACAAATTGTTGCGTGCTAGAAATAATGTCATTAGAGAGAGATACTGATCATCTTAACAAAAATTTTTACATTACTCACGTCACATATAAAGCTGGGGGTGTGATGGAAAAAATTGTTAAGTAATTTTGGGCTAATGATAAAATATTTGACATTGATGAATTTTGCACTGATCATTATTTTACAGGTGCTACTGAATATCAATGAAACAGTAGGCCTTTTATAACAAGTTGTTGCT